AGAGGAAGAGAATCGACCGCTCAGTTTAGCACTATTAATGATATGAGTGCAATTCACATGCCCATATATGGACATGAATGAACCACAAGTTCTCTAACAAATTCTCTAACATTTACAACCAATCAGTGATGCTAAATATCTCGATGCATCAGCTCACCATAGCAATACAAGGAGCAGTCCATTAAAAATACCTATTGACTATGCTCAGATCTCAAAATACCTTTGGCTGTACAAAATCTCTGACTTCTCTCGAATTGCTGCATAAAGCAAGAGAGAGAAATCACTTCTACTTGGAGTCAACTACACTCCAGTCGCTAATATTTTTCCTCTCCTCTCTTCTCTAGACTTCTCTCTAAAATACTTTATCATTTCATTTCTCTATTCAGTAATTCTTTATTACTATTCACTTCTCTATGAAGTAATTCTTTATTACTAGTTAGTTCTCTATGAAGTAATTCTTTATTACCGATCCCAACTCTATGAAGTAATTCTTTATTACCGATCCCAACTCTATGAAGTAATTCTTTATTACCGATCCCAACTCTATGAAGTAATTCTTTATTACCGATCCCAAACTCTATGAAGTAATTCTTTATTACCGATCCCAAACTCTATGAAGTAATTCTTTATTACCGATCCCAAACTCTATGAAGTAATTCTTTATTACTATTCCCAATCTTTATGAAGTAATTCTTTATTACTATTCCCAATCTCTATGAAGTAATTCTTTATTACTGTTCCCAAACTCTATGAAGTAATTCTTTATTACTGATCCCTAAGTCTATGAGACTTTGTGTTAGTTTATCAATGAGATTTGTTGATATTCTCTTCTGAGAATTGAGACTTGAGTTCTCTCTAAAGACTCTCATCAGTTTTTAGATAAGTAGTTATAAATCCTAATTGGGGAGAGAGTATATCTCTTTTGTCGATGCTTTACACGTCATTGAAATCCAAGCTATGTTCAACTTATATATTCTGGTAATGTAATCAACCAATGTAAGTGTTGGATTTATTTATTGATTGTCATAATAAAACCATTTGAATTTAAGTCTGCCTAGTTATTATTTTATGAAGTAATATTAATTAGGCTAGCCTGTGTAACTAATAAATTAAGTTAAGGTTAACCATATACATGGCAACTCCTAAGAGAGGAGAGGAAGCTCTTGTAAAGGTAAGATCTATATTATCGATTACAATCGGAGCTGAACAACAGGGCTGTTGCCAAGACTACCAGTCGTCGGACGACTCACTTCATGTTAACCCAAACCTATTCGCCATCTCTTGTCCGCTTTTATAACTAAACCAAATCCAAGCAATCTTTCTCAACTAAGGTTAGACTATTTATCAAACGAACTCGTCACAATAAAACTGTTCATGAGCAATAGATTACGTCCTGTAATGAGTACAGAGACCAATTAAACAACTTAATTATTGTAAGACCTAGATTAATTAATGCGCGCCACCTTTGAATGATTGTTATCATGACAATATTCATTAGGACAGTTTTTATACGTGACAATAATAAATGCGTTGAATTTAAATTATATCAAACAAATCTTCATTCAATCTCATACGAGATCATCATTTGAATTAAAAACAAAAAATATAACTTTTTGAATATAAGATAAAGATTGGATTAAATTTTAAAATCTCATTTTATAAACTTGTTATAATTAATGCCCTTTTATTTCTAATCATGTATTGATAAATATTTACAAATTCTGAACAATAAATTGTTTTTAAATTGTGATAAATATTATTGCATTTACTAATTTGCTAACGAGGACTAGTTTAAACTAGGACTATTGAATATTCATTTAATATATCGTATTAATAGATTATACAATGTTTTATTACAAATAAATTGCTATAAAACTGAATGTTGTAAATACAATAAACATAATTGTGACCATTATATGATACATCATGTATTAATATATTTAAATGGGTTAATAAATACTGAAAATTATCATATTGACCATTTGTTGTGGAAAAAATCGTGAAATACTTTCACTAAAAATTTTAAAGATCTGATCTAATGATTGAATTTATTTAAAACAAAATTCTTATTTGTTTTATGAAAAATTTAAATGAATTAAATATATTTGTTATTTAAGAATTAGGTGGCGATCTGGCTGATTTTAACTCATAAACCAATACTTAAATGGTGTCATTGAAACAACCGGTGATTTAATATAGTTTGCATAGTATTGGAGACAAAAGGTATCAACACTTGAGACAAATATGAATTGAGGAACACATTCGTGAGATCACGAACTCATGTCTGATTCCTATCATCACTATTACAATGAGAATATGTAAAGCATGTGTAGAGAAGTTAATCACAACAATCACTTATTTCAATACATCAACTCTTTTCATAAGCACTTGAATATATAAATTATATATTTATTATTATAATAAAGAGTAAAATGATAAACTAAACAAAAACGAAAGTTACGATTGAACTGATATATTGAGTGTAAAACAGATTAGTTGTGTATTTAATTGTATAAATTTAAATCCCATTAAAATCATTTCAGGGCTTGTCTTGTGATTAAACGTTGAAATTTCTAATTAAATGAAATTAAAGATAATTAATAAATGGTATATAAAATTATTGTGATATATATATATTGTGTAAATATATAATTTTTCGATTGTTTGTAGAAATCTGTTTATTTTTACTAAATAACATAAGTTATGTTAATATTATTATAATTTATAAATATATTGGTTTGAATTAATTAGTTTTTGTTAAAAAATATTTAAGTTAGTTGTTTTAGTAAATATTATAAAATATTTGATAAAGAATAAACACATATTATAATCACTTTTACTTATTATTATATACAATATTGTATTCTTAATAAATTTAATTTTTAGAAAAAAGAAAGTAGTTTTCAAAAAATTATAGTTTTATAAAAGTTTCTTTCTTTCAAAATACTAAAATTTTGAAATAATTAAATTAATGATAGATTATAATAGAAAAGTGAATAAATAATATGTGATTCTAGAATAAATTTAATTGAATTAATATTTGCAATAAGTATATAATTTAAGTAAATAATTGTATGAATGGTGTGGTTCTCAATCTTGACCTCGAAGAAAAAGCAATCGTTCACTTTTTTTTATTATATCTTTATGTATTGAAAACAACAAAACAATAAACATTAATGTAATCAAAACACAGAGAAATGGAAATTAGCTTTAAATTTATCAAAATTATTGTTAGGTTTTATGAGTGAAACAATTTGGTTATGAAGTAATAATTTGTGATTTTAGACAATATAAGAAATTTGAGTTTAATTTAATTTGCAACTGTTTTCACAAACACTTTTATTAATACATTATAATATAATTTTAATACAAACTAATTATTCATTAAAAGTATTCAAAAGCTATAAAAGCATAGACAAAAGTGAAAGTACAAACTTTCTCAACAATTTTTATTTACTTGTAATATAAATGTATAATTCTATGTATTGTTCCTCTGTTTCTGTGTATGTATTATATAAGACGACCTGATTTAGGATCCAAAGCGAGTGGACATTAAAGCAAAACAATTTATGCCCTAAATTGAAGTCAAAGAATTGCCTAAAGAAGGCGTCTATTATACACACCATATAATGAGAATATAAAAGAAGAGACTTTCCGTTTGTGTCCGCTTTTTATTTCATATATTTCTTTCAAGAGTTTGTGTTTTCAAAACTCATCAAAACTATGTTTAAGGTATCGCTAATCAAATCATTTCAACGCTAACCTAAATGTCGTTTAATAAAGTTTTCTAAACTGTATTTTATTTATGTTTTTGTCTAATTTTATTTAATTTATTGATTAAGAATTATACATAACTATTGGATTACTAATACAATCTTAATCATCTTAAAGGTATTAATTATAGCCGCAACTACTCTTGCGGCGAGTGCTCAATATAAAAGGCTCATCGGATCACCAGGTATTGTTTTACTATATTATTTGTAACTTTACTTTTAACTTTAACATTATAGTTTTATTGTAGTTAGAAATTAACGTTTAGTATTTAAAGTTCTCACAAGTCAGTTTAATATTTTGTGTAAGAATATTTGTTTGTAAATACTGTTTATCATTTTAATTCTCAAATAATAGCTTCTTCTAAATATACATTTTATTGTTTTAGTATAACGTTATAATAATTTAAACAATTAAAATTTATTTAAAAAATATAATGAATGGCATTTTACAGCTCAATTCATTATGTATTTAAAATGTTTGTAAATATAAATAATTTAATTTTTTAAAATGCCAATTTAAATAGTTGTAAATATGTAAATAAATATATCTTTAAATTTAACAAATTGTATTTAAGTTTTTAATTATTATATAAATTATTTTCTTAAAGGATTAATACAATTATTATAGTGTTTCTTACAATCATTATATGCATGATAAATTATTTTAATTAATATAATACAAATATGTATAGTAATTTCAAAAATTTTTCATTATCCCAAAGATTATTCTATAGACTATAATAGGAATCCCATAGAGAAAAATCTATACTAAAGTTCCCTAAATTCTACAGATATTAATGATACAGATGTTCATAATATCAATACAATATCATTATATGCCCAGAATATAAACTCGTATACTTTTTTAAAATTAAATAATGTTAACAATAATTATTTAAAATTATTTTAACATAAATTAAATTAATATATATATTTAATAAACTTTGATTGCTTAAAATTTAAATTAAGCAAATGTATATTAGGTAATATGTTAATTATTTAGTATTCTATATAACATCTAATCCATATTTCATGAAAACATAATTATTAAAACAAACTTTAATCTTATTTATAAATTTATTTATATGATTTATTTTAATTTATCAATAAATATGGTTTTTAGATCACTAAAATATTATACACAACTTTATACAGTGTATATAATAATATTAATATAATTAATGAAATAATATAAAACAAACTTATAATTAAAATTTATAGCATATTATGGATACTCCCCTGAATATAATGAATACGCACACGAAGTTAAAGCACCCATTTATGCCACTTATACTGACAATAAACCAGTATATGAATCTTACCAGGTATGTTTTACAACTTATAAATTATATCAGTCAATTTTAATTATCAAGAATAAAATTAATTTAGTTTTATTCCTATATAATGCAGTAGAATAAAATAATCTATTATTTGATTAATTCATTTCAAAAATATTATTAACAATTAGTTAATAAATTCAATGAATATCCAGTAAAAGATGAATTTATTAATTTCAATTGGTAAAATACTATTAATACATAAAGTTTACCTGTGTAACGTACTTATTATTATAATATAAACTTTAAAGTTAAAAACATTGTATAGTTAATAAACAAATCAAGTGCATTAAAAAGACAATTAATTAATTTAATGTAATTAATGATTAGGAAACTCCATCGCCGTATTCTTTTGGATACAACATAGACGACGGTAACGATTACATCCAATTTATTTAATTATTTAAATGTATTGTTGATTAAAATACATTAAAATTTAATCTATATTTAACTCATAGGATATGGAAATAAAAACCATCAAACAGAAGAAGGAGATTCTTATGGAAATAAGAAAGGTTTATAATTTGGGAATTTAATAAATTGACCAAAATATTACCACTTTACTTTATATCAATTTAAATCTACTTAATTTAAAACATTGTTGTTAACCAAAATATACTACTTTTAATTTTTAAAGAATTTACAACTAAATCTAAAAAGTAGTAGTTATATAGTTTGTACAAAACATGTGTTATTTGGAAATGAAAGTTCATATAACTCTCAATATATTGGAAATCGTTTTATAATTTCCTGATTCTTAACTAAAGACAGGCATAAAAAGTGAAATTTTATGGTTTCTTATTAAAAACATATAACGGAAGCGAATCATTAATTTGTGTTATGAATAGTAAACGCGTTGTCGTAAACTATTTTGTCGTTTTTAATATAATTAAATGTTTTTTAAATTTATTGATCATCAAATTGAAACTAGAACTGTTTGAATTAATTTGCTTATATATATAATTGCATAATTGTCATTAAAAGGTTCCTATGGTTATACCGATGCTTATGGAATATACAGGTTTGTCGTCATTTTATTACATAAATTAACAGATTATTCAATTTTATTACATATTATTGAATTTATAATTTGACAAATACTTTAAACTTTGTAAATAGGAAAGTAGATTATATCGCTGATGACCACGGATTTAGAGCTTCTATCTCTTCCAATGAACCGGGAGTCGGATCCGCCAGTGAGTGATCAGAATATTATTTGATTTAATTCATTCATTGATTGAGTAGTTTTGGAAAAATCAATTTTTTGAACGCATTTCTCGTTAAATTAATAAATTTTATGCTAATATATTTATTTGAAAAATATACTATATTTTTGTATTAAACCTTATAAATGTAGGCCCGGCTGACGTTCAACTGTATGCTAAGGTAAGACATAGTATATAATATGTCAATCAATGTCTGAAAACAATAATTATCCACAATTAACCAATATATAGGAGCCGCCGGCAGTCGCACCCTATAAAGCGCAGAGTTATGGCCACCCAATCTATGCTCAGGTAATACAGTATACAAATGTATGTTATATTATGGAAATGTAATGTTGTATTTGTATGACAGGTGCCAAAGCCGTACGCTTCATATCCCGTTCCCCAATACCATCCCTACCGACACTATTAATTGTATGAAATCATATTCGAGACACTTTTGATTACTAAAGACATGACAACACGTTTTTATATATGATTCACATTTATATGCACTTTAATTATATAATATTATGTTATATTCTCATCGAATTTAGTTAATATATAAATCAAACATTTTGATTGTAATTTATGAAAAATATGTACTAACTTAATATTCAAAAAATCACTTTCGAAATAAATTATATGTCCGACAAAATACCGCACAAATATTTTGATTATTGAATTTATGTATAAAATGATCAAATTTTAAATGAAATAATTTCCGAATCAAATATTCCTGTTTTAATAATATTATATTTTGATTTATTAAATGGGATTTTGTTTATAATAAATAAAACATTTGTACAGAATAAATAAAAAGTACACAGTGTAAAATCTGTGTCCGCAAATTTTTGTTAAAAAATAAAAATTCTAAGTAACTATTCAACTATTTGATTCTAATTATTTGTTTAAAATAATTTAGTACCAACTTTAGGCATCCAACTATAGAGAAGTGTATACTAAGTTACTTACGAGCAGACAATCAATCGTGTAGTTTAGACCAAATAAAATAATTTAAGGAAAACACCATAAGAGGTGTTAAATTTTTATAAATTGCATAATACAGTATTGTCTTAAATCAATTTGATTATAACGTTATACAGTATATAATTGTTTTAATTAATTGATTTATTAAATACAATCGTATTTATCAACAAATTTAATATTATATTACACCTATTGTTCTTTATTTTCTTAACATATAATATAAAAATATTGAGAAATTGTTTCAAGTACGAAATATTTTACTATTGAATTTTATACAAAACTGAAATACAGTTAAAACTTTATTTCTTATCAATAAATTAAATTATAATAAAATAATTTTTTTGTATAAAACTTTGACACAAATTGTTTTAAAAATAATAGCACTAAAAATGCCGCAAACATATTATGGCCTTAAAATATGCAACAGTTTCGCTGTAAGAATCAATTTTAATGATTGTTTTATTTTTTATCTATCGATTAAAGTGTTATTTAAATTGTTTCTATTTTAAAGTATATTTTATTTACATTTCAATGTTAGACTAATGTATTTTTCATTATGTATAATTGTCAAGTCTATTGTATCTAACTTATAAAATCTATGGACAATACTAATCAATTCTTTGAGCAATAGCCGAATTGTGGTTAAAGTATAGCATCGCTGTGTGATCCTTGTTTGTATTGCCTATATAAATTTTCATATAAAATTTGAAAAATATGATGGTTATTTATATTTATATTTTTAATACAATATAGATTATAATGTCAACTAATATAGAATATAATGTGAAAACCTTAATTTACATTTACATCGAGCAAAACTGTACTTTATACAACCCCTAAGCATTGTCTTGAGTTAATTGTTGTTTAACAATTTTAATAAAATGTAACTTTTAATACTAATTTAAAATCAACAAATATATATTGTATTTTAACTTTCCTTAATTTTGGTTTTCCTCCTTGAGCAAATATAAAACCAGTCAATAACCAAAATATAAGTCTAACAATAAAAATAACTATTGTTTACCATTAAAGTTGTCTACAAAACATACATAGTATAGGAATTACAGGAATTATTACATTAATAATTGATATATAATTTTATAGTATTTTATTTAAATTTTGTGTTGTTTTGTTTGTAATGTAAATATTCATTAAATGTGAATATAATTAATACTCAATGAAAATATTTTCCTTAAACACAAACACTTTAATACATTTAGCCCTTCATTTGGTGGGGTTTTGTATATGTGTTATCAGATACTGAATAATACGTGTGTTTAGCATAACAAGTGAGCCGAAAGGTGTGTCCAAATGCTCCCAATTATACAATCAATTGTTGAGTAACAGGAAATTTGTTGCCTTTTTTCTTATTAATTTTCATATAAATTCTGTTTATCTTTCTTTGCATACATTTATTAATTCTTTATATTATTTTTTGTTTTGTTTTGTTTACGAGCTATTAATTTGAATTCAAGTCAATGACAAACTCATGATATTTACATGTATTAGCAATATTTAAATATCGATTAAAATTTTTAGTACAATTAGTTTAACAGTTTTACCTACAAATTGCTAGTATGTCTAGGTATAAGAATTGATTATACAATTTAAAACATCTACTTACTCTTAGCGTTACTACCTTGGCACCCGTAACATCTGTCGGAGGTATTTTTGGTTAAAATCTATTTAATATAGTAGATTTTGTTACAAAATATAGATTGGTGAAAAATTACGAGCTGATGGCCAAAAACGACCAAGTTGTGGCCATTTTTGTGATCGCGTGTATACGGCGTATAGCATGCAGTACTCGTCATTAGCCCAAGCATTGTGTGAAACATTAAAATAATAGAACCACAAAACATGCATTACTAACAAAACAAAATAATAATATAAAGAATTAATAAATGTATGCAAAGAAAGATAAACAGAATTTATATGAAAATTAATAAGAAAAAAGGCAACAAATTTCCTGTTACTCAACAATT